AGAGGTCCATCAGTGGCTATTAGCCACAAGGTATAGATAGGGACTCTGGGGCAAGTGATGCTCTGTCATCTTGGTGCTTGGGGGGGGTCAACAGTGGGAGGGCTTCTAATGTCCTGGCCCCACTGGTGGACCTCCTGATGGCACTGGTATTTATGGATATGGAGCAGAGGTCCATCAGTGGCTATTAGCCACAAGGTATAGATAGGGACTCTGGGGCAAGTGATGCTCTGTCATCTTGGTGCTTGGGGGGGGTCAACAGTGGGAGGGCTTCTAATGTCCTGGCCCCACTGGTGGACCTCCTGATGGCACTGGTATTTATGGCCACTGTGGGATACAGAGTGTTGGACTGGATGGACCTTTGGCCTGATCCAACATTGGCATCTCTTATGTTCTTATGTTCTTATCCATTCCGCGTTTTCTTTGCAACTCTTCTTGAGCTGTAATTATTTCAATGGAGCCAATGCAAGTCAATTAGCATTCCTGGCTCCCATTATTTCAAATGGGCCTTCAAGTCTCTCCCATCGTTTCCAATGGGTAATCGTGTCCTTCCTTTTAGTACCTCCCCCTTGAAGGCCACGGTCTCTCTGTTTCGCCAGAAAACCTTTTCTCTGACTGAAATGTAGGAAAGAGCAAGAGTGCAATAGCACCTTAAAGTGTAATAAAAGGGGTCTGACGTGTGTCTCTCTCCGTGAAGGCACCTTTCTGCGGCCCACCTGCGGAGGAGGTGAGTCTGACCCTGACGGCCGGAACATGCCACCGCCTCCTCTTCCCCCCCCCAAGGAGGGTGACGGTGCCACCGGGGCAGGCAGCAAGGAGGGAGCGGAGATACCATCAAGCCCTGGCACTGCCATCATCTCTGCGCCTCCTCCTCCTCCACCTGCCCCCAGGAGCTCAGGCTCGAAGAGGGGCTGGTTGATTAGGAGCCCTTTTCAGCAGGCGTCCCAGTGGATGGAGGGGAAGCGTGGGCTATGTAGACTGTGTGGTGTGTGGGCGGGACTCAGGCCATGCAGCCACCCAACGCAGCAAGGGGATTGGCAGGTGTTCTGAGTGGCAGATCACACACCCAACCTATTTTGCCACGCATAGAATGTTGCCACCCCAAGTGGCTTTTATATTAAGGACAGGATATGACTTTCCCCCTTTGCACTGGATATCACTGACGCTTCATAACTCTTGAGCTGAAGAACTCTCTTATCTTAAAAATCTACTGACATTCTATTCAGCAGATATTTTTAATGTGAAATTCACAGAACTCCAGTACTATACAAAATATGATGATGGCAACTGTTTTTCAGTGACTACTATAGTAATTAGTTTTTATATAACTTTTTTCTCCCACAGGTGCTCTAGCCCATGATTTCAGTAATCCTTACAACAGCCCTGCAAATCACTAGCATTGTTCCCCTATTGTGGTTGAGATTCAGACTTAGAGAGCGCTCTCTCTCTCTCTCATTCAAGCAGACTTGTGAAGTTCATTATTGAGCTGATATCAACTGGGAATATGGTGGCTCAGAGTGCATGATCTTACACAGCATACTATACTAGCTCTTTATTGTATGGGTTATCATAATACAGTCCTAAGCAGTATTACATCCTTCTAAACCCACTGAAATAAAAGTATTTACATCTGTTTAGGGTTACACTGCTAGAATTCTATGGGGGAAGGATGAACATAGCATTTAATGTGTTATTTGTGAATCTGTAATAGAAGCAACAGAGAAAAGCAATACTGTTATTCATTTAATTTCAATGGGACAGGCATGTAGAAACTGTAAATCCTATAGAAATGAATAGAAATTACATAGCAGAAATTCTTTGTGCGTGGCATCTACAAACCTGGCAACCAGTGTTTGCTGGAATCTAATATTGGGAACATACATTTGGATTTAATTGTTGAAGAACTGGTTGTGATCGTTTTCTGGGCCAAGTTCTGTCTTGCACAATATGGGACTGAAACCAAGAAGGTTGGCACGGTGGATCATTGTCAGGCTTTCTTAGCAGAAGTCGCTTGTAAAACAAGGTGTGGTGCCTATGAGCATGCTTAATATTCTAATCACTGCTTGTGATTCTTCCTCTAGGATGCTGAGCCAGAGGAATCTCACTGTGATAAACCAGAGAGAAGGAGTTCTTTGCGGTCTTCAGAAAGGAAGCCAGCTGATTTAGCACAACACAAACATTCAGGGCAGCTACCAGACCTAAATGAGAATTTCTCTCCTGAGAAGAGCAGTGCCTCAGAAAGTGATGGTGAAGGTAAATGGTTTGTGTCATATTTGTAGTCCTAAAGAAAAATTATAATAACCAGAACCAAATATGAAATCTATGGGTCTGTATTTTCTTTATGCCAATAAATCCAGTACTAAATGGGAGGCCATTCCTGTAGTCCCACTGGGCCACCTCCGGTCCACATCATTGTTTGTACCAGCATAGCCTATATATAGCAGTATGCACTCCCCAGCAGCACCGTAAACAGAATATTGCATTAGACACAGCAGTTAACACAACAGCACCAACAACTTAGTCATTGCCATCCACTGTGATGTGATGCCCACTGACTGTGTCCTCATAGTAGCTATGCTTGAGGAGGCACCAAACATTAGTGCATGTTGATGGCAGGTACTCCTAAGTGATATAATGGAATCTATCCCACATTCCTCCCACATACAGTATGCAAGCAGGCTGCCAGGAACAACCAGAGATTGGCACATCTTCTGCTAGAGCCTCACATAATCCAGCACGTATTCTACTAGAGCCTACCATACTTCTGTGGGCAGGACGGCAGCGGAGACATATAGCTACAAGCCATGGAGCTATCCCACTTCCAGCAGTGGTTTCTGTTTCCAGGCAGCTGAAGCATATTTAGCAGCTCTGTGGCTGCAGGTGTTTCATTGTCCTGCACACCTTGGGATGCTTTGAGGGAAGGTATTCATGGTATCCAGGAGTCATATTCTGAGGCTCCCTCTTTTTGAAAAGTCTACAAAAACCTCAAAACTGTGCAAGATATAGTTCTTAATAGTCTTTTGCCTTATCTTGTATATTTCTGAAAATTGCATAGAAATGTCACCTTTTGGGGCCCTTTAACCTTATGGAGCCCCTAGCTTGTTAAAGGAATAATCCTTCAAATCTTTAAGACTCACAAAGAGTAAGAATTCCACCATTATTATTTGGACTTCATTGAAAAGGGTCGACTGCTGAATACAACATCCTGTCTGCTATATGGATGTGTCAACAAAATTGATATTTACAGAAATTAATTGTGTTTTCAGAAGTCCTTTCCACACTACCCCCATTTTGTAATGGCTGGCATTTGTTTAGTTTGGGGGGGGGGTTAAATGTATGCAAGATAAACATTCTGAACCTTGTTCAAGCATCACCAGAAAATAGTTCCTTATGTTGTAACTCTTAGTACTTTATTCTTACCCAGTAGTGTTTATAGCAAAGTGAGTAAGTGCTTGTGACTGGATTAATAGCCCTATCTCTAAATTAAAGCCACCAATTATCTTTACTGGCACGAGTTAGAAACATAACAAAAAGAAGAAAAAGGAGTACGATTTTAGCATTACAAAGTGAAAAATTCCCCACCAGAGGATTTTACCTCATGCTCCCAAATCCTCATAGCAGTAAGAAGATACCTTGCTACTATCGTGTTCCCCCGAAAATAAGACACTGTCTTATATTTATTTTTTTCTCAAGAAGACACACTAGGGCTTATACCACAAATGCATAGAAATCCTGCTAGGGCTTATTTTTTGGGTAGGTCTTATTTTCGGGGAAACAGGGTAGGTAAGTAATATAAGGGCTCTGATCTAGCAGAAGATATAAACAAGCCTCTCATTGGGATATCCATGGAATTTGTGCAATTTGAAATAGAAAGCACAATAAAAGCAAAACATGGCATACAGATTCAGACTTTCTGAGTACAAGGACAACGGCTTTCATGATAGGGAACATTTCCAAATTTTCCAATAACTGCTGTAGGGAAAGCACAAAATCTTGTGAGCATAAAAGCTCATCATAATTGAGGAGATGTTAAGTGTGAAAAATAGGATGCTAGAACCACATGATCAAGTGTGATACCAAACACCAGTGGGGAGTGTGTCCTGTTTGCTAAAGAGCAGCAAGTTTGTTTTTCAATATCCAAAAATCTCTGTCTCAAAAATCTAAAGGATTGAGGTTCTTCTAAGAAAAAAATCAAGAGGAATACCAGTAGACTGTATTTTCCACAAAATTAAACATGACCAGTTAGTTGGGGAGGAATCAGACAGCATGTACAATGCATAGCTAGGGCAATCTGCCCTATAATGGAGATGTAGCCAAAATTTCAGGATTAAGAGCCAAGCTTTAATTTATAAAAGGCTCTGCCCTGTCTCTAAACACATGGCTGCATAGCTGATACAATTTGGCCCCCCTCAAAACATCGCCTGAATTTCCACAACACATTGGTTGAAAGCACTAATCCAAATGGGAATCCTGTAAAGTAGTTGGGATACCAATTTAGCATTGAAAACATGGTTGGCCACAGGTACATACTGGCCACCTTTCACATAAAAGAAACATGCATCCGTGAACATACTGTACTTGCACCAATTACTTGTGGACCATGGCACTGTAAAGGGAGCGTAAAATACTATTTTATTTTAACCTCCTAATTTAAATAGATAACAAGTGAAGTTTTACATGCTCCTTTCTGCTAATTTGCATGGACATACCAGCTAATGTTAGTTTCCGAGCACAATGGACCTAGAACGGCTGTAATCAAAACAGTAGACCGGGCGGAGAACTAGACATTTTGTACTGTATTGATTTGCATCATGTGTCACATGGGTCCATATTTGCTTGTATTTACCACACCCTGATATTTTAAGAGACTGTAATACTTGACAGCCTAGAAAACACTGAGTCATCTTAGAATCTTCTATGCACTGTTAGTGTTTCAGCTGTCATTATAATAGAGAGATTGTTTCCATGTGAGGAAAAAAGTCATGTACACCCATTTGACCATCAATGGCTGTGGTAGTCTGTGAAGAGTGGTTTGGGCTTAATTGTTAAGCTATGGAATTTGTCACCTGCAGATTTGTTCTTTCTTTGAGTTTGTTGTACAGGTTTTTTAATCTGATTTAACATTTTTTAAATATGATTTTTATATTTGATTCTTTTTATGGAAGTTATTTTGAACCTGAAGGCAGTAGATAGGATTTTTAGAAATTCCTAAATAAATACGGTAAGAATAAAGAACAATCTCTTTCGTATTTCCTACAGCTGTGATGCAGCAGCTTTGTATTGGGCTCATTTAAATACATCCATCCACTGCTGCAATAAATTAATTGCTAAATCAGGGCTATTTTTGCGCAGGAACACACAGGAACAGAGTTCCGGCTGGCATCAGAGTTGGCCACGCCCACTGCAGCCAAAACCTCTGCGTGCCTGGCTACAGAGGGAAGGCCCGGAGAGCGACCGCCCCCCCCAGTGACTCTGAGGTGGCCCAGCCAGGGGGGCCCTGGAAAGATCGGAGAGGCATTTAAATGCCTCCCTGTGCTTTCCCCGGCCTGTCCAAGGGACAACTTGCCCAGGCTCTCCGCAGTTTTAAACTGCCTTCCCTTCCCTTAGGAGTACCTGCCATCAACATGCACTAATGTTTGGTGCCTCCTCAAGCTACTATGAGGACACAGTCAGTGGGCATCACATCACAGTGGATGGCAATGACTAAGTTGTTGGTGCTGTTGTGTATGCTACTAAGTTCCTGCTGGGCTTTTTCTACAAAAAACACCCTGGCTAAAATAAATTCCAACTCTAGCTGTTTCAGATAGTACCATGTTGCTCTAAAGTGCTCGTTCCATTTTTAGGTGGATAGGGTGTTGTGTCAACCTCCAGGATTGCAGCAATCTCTGATTGGCTATTGTTATTTTATTCATTCAATTTGTATCCTGCTCTGCTCCACTAATGTGGGGCTCAGAGCAGGTTCTAACATCATAAGATGGCACATACAATACTATACTGCTTCCCCAGGGAAAAAGAGGGGGAGGGAGAGGTAAGAAGGTCTGTATGGATAGGAGTTCCTTGACCTCACCCATATGCTTGGCAGTACATTTGTATTTTACAGGCCCTGCAGAACTGTACTAACTCCTGCAAGGCCCGGATTTCACTTGGAAGCACATTCCACCAAGCTGAAACCACAGCCAAGAAGGCTCTGGGGCTCTGGTTGAAGCCAGACAAATATTCCTTGGTCCTGGGATTGTCAGTGTGTTGTTATTTGAGGAAAGCAATGCTGGGGGTATGCCAGGAGAGGCAGTTCCACAGATATGTTGGTCCCAGACCGTGTAGGGTTTTAAAGGTTAGACATGTGAGCCTTGAGATAAGGTTGTGCAATGTTTAAAAAGTCCACATTTAACAACCTGAACAAACACTTGTTAGCCAAATTGCTTTATTTTTTAATAAAAGGTTGGGGAATTATAATATTAATGACCAATTGGCATAACTATAGGATCATGACCTGTATATACCAGAGTCCCACTTATCCAAGTCCCAGAAATAGATGCAGAGACTAGATCTTAAGAATCACTAGTTTCTTTTACTGAAGGAATATACACACACACACACAAATATAAGATCAAGCAATCAAAACACACAATACAGAGCTAGGAAATTAAGGTAGAAAATTATAGAGACGTTTGCATTAGCAGGTAATTTTGTTGAGAGGTGATAGTTTACCTGTCCTGACGTGGAGAGTAGAATCCGCACTGAAAAATAGAGTGACTTTAAGGGAAGGGATCGTGTACTGACCAGCAGAACATGTGGGAGATTCCAAACTGCACAGGAATGGAACCAAAGATAGGTTGGGGTTGGGAGGGATAGGAGAGAGAGAGAGAGCACGAGCAATGGGGTGATCCTCTCTGTATATACCCCAGATCTTAGAGGCACGTGCTTCCTCTGTCACATAGTCCTCCAGGAAGTACTAGAAAAAATCCAGGTCCTAATGGGGTTATAGAATAGGATTAATGGGTGGACAATTGAAATAATGTTTCTCTAAGTGACACCTTTCAGAGTAAGGAGCTGAAGACAAAGGAGAAGAAAAGACAGTCATTCAAGGTGCTTGGCCAGTTGTTAGAGTCAATGACCCAACAATCTGCACCTGTGTTATCTTGATGGGCAGTGGGGGTATGCTTGGCAGCTCAGTTAATCTCGTCATAGTCAGGTTCTATTGTTTTACTTGAGGATGAGTATGTGCAGTTTTGAGTGATGCTGGTAGGAGAAGGGGGGGGGAAATGCCTGCATGATGGAGAAGAGGCTTGTTCATGGCATTTGTGCAGAAATGTCCAGGTTGCCTCTGCAAAGCGTGGCTTCTCTGGAAGTCTGGCTGCTGGCTCCATGTGGCTGCAATGTCAGGTAGGCTGGCATGCCGTCAACCTGGGTCTGTAGTATCTTTGGAGATGCAGGGATGGACGGCATTGGGTGTTCCATGGGTCTACATCTGGTTTAACATGCTGCTTCAGTGCAAGGATTCCCTTGGCTGGGCACATGTCCTCTGTCCAGTAAGTTGGCTTCGTCTCATGGTCACCATTCAGTCCATTTTTCCTGGCACACTCATTGTACAGTCCAGCTTAGAGTCATATTTCATGTAGATACTTTATAAGATGCTTGTAGGGCAACAAGTTTATATACAGTATTAGATTTGTGTGTAGGAAAAACATGTATTGTCATTCTGTTGTGTTTTATTGTGTAGCATGTTCTGTCTTTTTACATCTTCACTGTATCTACTTTCTTCCCATCCACCCCCCAGCTGAGGAGACCATCCTAGAGAATGAGCTCCTTGGAAAAATCATTGTTAATCGGGTCTTCCATATTGGTGCAGACAGAATGTTTGAGATGCTTTTCACCAATTCCCATTTCATGCAGAGATATCTCAGTAGTAGAAGTATAACAGGTAAGCATTCCTTTTAGTATTTGCACTGAAAGAAGTTTCTAACCCATGTCTTGGAAAAATCAGTTTATTTCTAAATTCCTTTCCTTTTATTCAATAAAAGCTCTATGATACATTGATCTTGAGAAGTGGATAGTTGTTGTTAATCAATTATCACCCAATAGACAAAAAGAGTAGAAAATTTTTGCAATGGCTAGGATTCTTTTTGGGTCCCTGTCAGAAAGTAAAAAGGTAACTAAGTCATAGGAATATACATCCAAATGAACTTGTAAACACGGTAAAATATAACACCTCCTGAGATTAGCATATACAAAGGACACCATAGAAGAATATGTGCTATCATGTTGATCTTTTGGTGTAGTGGTTAAGTGCGCGGTTTAGTGTAGTGGTTAAGTGCGTGGACTCTAATCTGGGAGGACCCGGTTTAATCCCCCACTCCTCCACTTGCACCTGGCTGGATGACCTTGGGCAAGCCGTAGTTCAGATAAAAGCTGTTCTTGAAAAAGAGTTGTTTCTGTCAAGAGCTCTCTCAGCCCTACCTACCTCACAGGGTGTCTGTTGTGGGGAGGGGAAGGGAAAGGAGTTTGTAAGCCGCTCTGAGACACCTTTGGATAGTGAAGGGCAGAGTATAAATCCAATCTCTTCTTCTCTTCTTCTTCTTCTTACCTAAGGGACAGGGGCAGATTCATTCTGAATAAGGTAAACACATGAACCTATCCCTCATAACTGCCAAGGAGTCAGCATTTAGTCTGGCCAGAATGAATGCTTTGGGAAGACAAAAGATAGGTATAGGAGGGAAGAGGTTTTGGAGGTGGGATACAAAAAATTTGGGATCAACATGAGCGGCATGCTCTAAAGACAGAGCTTTGGTGATAGATTGATTTTATACAATTTCTCACCAAAGCAGATGCTGCATGAAAACCCAGGGCATGGATAGTGTCCAGGTTAACATCAAGAGCCAACAGTTTCTCAAAGACAGTCTTAAACCACATTGACCTATAAGAATCTTCTTTCAGGCATGCCAGGTAGCCCTTGCTGCTCAAATATGATTTGATGAACAGTCTAAATGCTTGAATTCAAGCTCTTGCCTCAATGGAAGGTTGGCCGAGTTCTGGATGGAAAGCCACACCAGCCACACAGCGAGGGATGTTAAATAATTTTCTCAGAAAATATAAAAGAAGATGGTCAAAGTTTTCATTCACAAGACAATCCTTATGGCTACTCTGTAAAGCTGGAGTGTCAAACATACAGCCCATGGGTTGGAACCAGCCCCTGCAGGGCTCATATCTGTCCCACGAGCAACTGGCTTTCTCCTGCTTCCTTCTCCGGGGCTCCTGCTGCATTGCCGCTTACTTTCGTCTGGCTCCCCCAATCGTGCAAGTGCCAGCCGGGAAGGCAATCAACAGGCAACTTAGCTGGACGCAGAGATTAAAAAGAGAGGCAGAGACACCCTCTCTCTGGATGCACACTCACTCACACATACACAGGTGCACACACAGAGTCGTGCAGTGGGCCTCCCTGCTGGGGAAAACAGTCTTTTACATTCAGCAGGCAGCTGCCGCCGCCGTGCACACCTCTTTGACTCTCCCGACCAGCTACTGTGGGTCGCTTTTGTCCCCAAAGAAAAAAGCTTCCCCGCCAGGGCCAGCTGGTCAGTGCACTGCACAAGCCGGTTGGGGCATCTGCAAGGCAGGTGGGCTTTTGAAAGGCAGCCTCAGTCCCCTCGTTTTAATGCGAGATGGTTTCTTTTCTCCCTCCCTTGCTTTTATTCACTGGGGATCAATCCGATGCCGGCTTGCAGAGAAGGTGGCGGGTTTCCTGCTCTCTCCCCTCATTGCCCACATCTCCCCCCCATGGAAGGTACAGCCAGAACTGCAGGTTTTTTGAGGCGACTGGGTGAGTCAGATACAACCTCCCCATACACACACATGGTCACACACGTGCTCACACATCTGCACACACAGACGTGCATACACTAGCACTGTATGTTGCTCCCTGCGCAGCTGTTCAGCTGTTGAGTTGCAGCTGCCACCCAGAGAGGATACGGGCTGGAGGAAGGCAATGCAAAGCAAGCACATGGAAAGGAAGGGGAAAGGGATAGCAGGAGGGGGTCCATCCCAAGGTCACTTTCAACCACTCAAGACCCCCCTCTATGCCAAAAAGCAGGACCCCCCCTCCCAATATAAAATGACAGGAGTATTTCCGTGCCTCTGTCTCCAGTAGCATGTGTGAACTGTATGCAGAGACGATGGGGGCAACCAGACATGCGTCAGAGCTAGTGTTGTGGGGTCCTAGGTCTGCTGAGGCTGACTACTCCTCAGATGAGGAAGAGGCAGGAGCAGCCCAGCCTCCTCTGGAGTCAGCCCAGAAGAAGAACCCCCAACTATACCTGAGGAGGAAGAGTCCCCAGCAGCTGCACAGGCGGTGCAGCCAGAAGGAGAGGCCAATCCTGACCCTGGCCCAGCACCCCCAGTTGCAGACACCCCAAGGCCAGACTCCTTGCCTCGTTCTCCTGAGTGCCCCAGACGTAGGGCATGCCAGAGGCTGACTATGCAGGAGCAAAGAAGGAGTGCCAGACTCCAGAGCCAAGACAGCACAGCTTGCATAAGTTTGGGCTGGCTTTTGATCTTGTGTGCGTGTGTGCATGTGCGCACACACAACAACAAACAAAAAATGAAAGAAAAGAGAACCTTATGTTTAATTTGAGGCATGCAGTGAGTCTGGAATTCCTGTGCAAGGACAGATGATTATGCATGGGATTAGAGTCAGATTTATTATTCCCACGAATGGGTCTGCCCACTGGGTAGGGGCATGCAGCTCTGCCTGCCAGCAAAGCCACCATGGGCAACAGTTGGCACTGGGGAAAGGGGAGGGCAAGAAGGCACCATGGCTGTGCCCTGCCTGCACCGATCACTGGTCACCCCACCGCTCCCTTACCCTCCAGCCTCCCTCAGTGCCTTCCAATGAGGAGCTGGCGCCAGGCAGCTTGGACGGTGAGTGGGAGTATTATGTCCACAGCTCGTTATGGTCATTGAGGCAATCCACTCGGAAAGGAGACTCCAGGCCACGTGATTTCAACGTGCAGCAGCCCCATTTCTGGGGCATCGGGGTGTACGCAGGAGCTGTACACGGTTGGAATGGGCACAAAGGAGCTGGAGACCGTTTGTCAGTGTGCGGGTGAGTTGAGTTTTCTTAGCTCCTAGTTTGGAGAAAAGCAATAGCAACCTGATGCCTGACTGTGCAAATCACAGAGACATTAAACTGAGAGCCAGTTTGGTGTAGTGGTTAAGTGTGCGGTTTCTGTCAGAGCTCTCTCAGCCCCACCTACCTCACAGGGTATCTGTTGTGGGGAGGGGAAGGGAGTTTGTAAGCCGCTCTGGGACACCTTTGGGTAGTGAAGGGTGGGGTATAAATCCAGTCTCTTCTTCTTCTTCTATTAGCCTGTTTGAAAACACATTGGTGCATTTTTGCCAGCCATGCCATCTATTGGGTCATGAGTTTTAGTGCTTTAAGGATGATCAATTATATTTGTTCTTTTGATGCTTTTTAAATGCTCATTGCTGTTTCATTATATAGTTGATTATTGTTATATTGCTGCTTTTCATTTTTGCCGCTATTTTTTGTTAGTAGGCATTAATACCTGTCAGTTTTTAAACCATTTTCTAAAAGGCATTTTGGTGCTGTTTCAGTAGAAAGATGGGATATATGTGTTATAAATAATTATGGTACATTTTGAGCCCTCAGGCGTTTCCTGATTTGTAGTAAAATTTGCCTACATCCTAATAATGTCACATTGTGTGTGCCCCCCCCCCCCCTGGATCTTTGGCTGCCACTTTTGAGAGTGGGAAAATGCAAAGTGTCATGACATCAGGACAGGACTTACTGCACTTTAAAGCTGGGTTAGGCAACTTTTCTGACCTAAGTGCTCAAAAAGCAACATTTGCCTATGAAAACAATGTGGCAGCAAATAAAATGGGGGGGGGGGAAACAAGGGTTGCACTTGAAGATTTGTTTGGAGCAAGCAAAGCCCCAGCAGCACTGCCACCCCCACCTCAAGGATATGCCTTAGGCCTAGCTGGAAGCTGTGCAGGTCGGGGAGGTGATGATAGGCATAAGACATGTATTTTGCCTTCTTCTGCACTGCTGTTCCTAGTAGCACTGCCAGAGCCTCGGTTGCTTGGGTGCCAAGCAAAATGATCTGGTGTGCTACTATCAGCACGTGCCAGGTGATTGCCTACCCCTGCTTTTGAGGGAGAGAACTTGACATATGGCAGTGTTATCAGTGGCAGCTCTGGTTTGTCATTATGTGTAGTTTTGCACTTTGACGGTTATGTGTTGAAATTATTGACTTGAAGCTAAGCATTGGGTATTGTAAGGGACCACATGTTGGGCTGGTGTCTGCCTGGCACACACACATGGATCGGGATGCATGATCAGGCCCTCTGCAGGGTTTGTGTTCTCAAACCACTTCTGGCATTTTTAAGGACGGTGATAATATTGTGTGAATTGCTAGAAATTAATCATGACATGTGTTGTGCTTAGATACAGTACAGACTCCTTGGAGCAGAGATGCTGGAGGGAATCAGCTGAGGACCGTGACATACACTCTTGGGCTCAAAAATCCTCTCATTGGGAAATTCACAACTGTGACTGAAAAGCAGGTGCCTAATTTACTTGCTTATGTCTACATTTGAAGAGAGAGAAAAGTGTTCTTACCTCAGTCCGCTAAGACACAACTGGCTAGCACCTCAGTCTCTGTATACCACTTTTTCAATTACTCTTTTGCATCTAGGCTACCAGATGGCGGGCCAGTTGGCATCCTTGGAAGGGTTGCATCTAGAGGCCTGTCCATTTCTGGGGGCACAGGGCTGGAGTCTGGGGCTGTGGCCTCTTCCCCCGGTTCCCCCTTTTCCCTGCAGGACCTTTGGAGGAGCCTCAGTTAATTAAGCAAGGGGGAGAGAGAGGACCATCTGGGGGCACAGGGCTGGAGTCTGGGGCTGGGGCTTCTTCCCCCGGTTCCCCCTTTCCCCTGCAGAATCTTTGGAGGAGCCTCAGTTAAGCAAGGGGGAGAAGGGGTTACATTCACTCAGCTCCACTGATCCCACCAGGACCACCCCACATGCATTTGGGAAGAGGACTTGCTCTTCCTCCTTGGCTTTCTCCTGGCCTGCCCTTAAGGGTCTCCCCAGGGGAGGCGCATTCCTGGGTTTCCCTACGCCCTTTGCTCCAGGGGTTGGGCCATCCCGGCTGGCAGGACTTGGAATCAATGGGGTACCGTTGTGGGCCTTTCCATCCTGAGTCCCACCTCCCTAGGAACTTTCAAAGGCCTGTGTGCTGGACCTGAGATGGGCAAGGCTTCTCCTTTTCTCCCCCCCACCCTTCCAGCATGCTGTGGCCTGGAAGCCTGGGGGTTGGCTCGCTGGCTGCAGAGCCCGCCCTGGCACCTCCTTTCTGCTTCCCCTGCCTTGCCCTGCTCTGTGGGGGGCGCTGCCACCCCGGCATGTCAGGTGGCTGATTCCTGAGTTGCCCTGCTCCCAGCTGGTTGCTGCGCCACATCCTGCTGTGTTCCTTGGCCTCTCTGCTCCTCCAGCACTCCTGTGAGCCCCTGCCCTGTTGCTGTCATCCGCTGCTGTGGGCTGGGAGCTGGGGGGGGGGGCACAGGGTCATCTCTCTGTTGCAGTGAGTGCCATGTCAGGTGGCTGATTCCTGAGTTGCCTTGCTCCCAGCTGGTTGCTGTGCCACATCCTACGGAGGGGGAGGGGTAGAATCCAGACTGGCCTCCAATTGTCAACCTCTATTCCAGAAAATAACATACTGGATACTTTCGCTAGGATGGCAATGACTGTGATTAACTTCCTATTTAGTATCCATCCCACTGAGCTGGAATTTGCAAACTGCTCTGTTAGAAACGAAATGTTACATATTTCATATTGTTGCATAGGCTACATGTCTTTTTTGCAGTTGTCTATATTTCAGTTATCCTGTATCCTTGGGGGGGGGGCCTGCATTCTGGCCACGCTTCTAAGCATTTTCTGATTTTTGTTTCTTTGTTTAACCTATCCCATATTCACTTTGCAATCTTTATTCCAAAAGTGTGTACTGAAAGAGAGCAGAAACTGTCTACTGAAAATGTCATCTCTTTTTAAAATAGGTCCTGCATAAACAAAGCCACAAAGGTCAAATGTATCGGGTAGACGCAGACGTGTTCACGCATGATGTGCCCTACCATGATTATTTCTACACTGTGTATACTTACTGCATCACCCGTATGTCCAATCAGGAGTGCAGACTGCGGTGAGCCTTTTCGTTTTGTTATATGAGAGGCTGTGCAAAATTGTTAAGGAGGGACAGTATGGTCCAGCTGGCTCTTCTGCACACATTTCTTTGTGGCAAGAACTAAAGATGGCATAAAAATGCCATCCACTTCCGTTTCCATTGTTGGTTGGAATATGATGATCTGAACAAATTGTCATTGACTCCTGTTTGCCCTGGTGGTTGAATGCATTCATAAACAGGAGCTGTGAGCCTTTTCCCAACTGCCTGGAATTCTTTAACAAAATGCTGTTGGTCGTAAGATAAATAAGAGGCTTTTAAAGTGGATGGGCATGTGCAGGCATCAGTCAAAGTCCCCCTTACCACACTGAGCTATTCATAGACCTCATGAATGTTCTGTGCATTTCCTCCTTCGGCTTTCAGCGTGAGTGTACAAAGTGTCACTGTAGTGACTGGGCCATTTGCTTTCTTGTGCCGCTTGCTGCTTTGAACTACAAAGAATGAGAAATTGCTCTCAGACTGAGTGAAAAGGCAAGACCTCTGCTCTCATGTGTTGCAATATTGTTAGCTGTATTCTTCTTCTGCTGCAGGGTTTCCTCAGATGTGAAATATAAAAAGCAACCATGGGGACTTGTCAAGAGCATAATAGAGAAGAATACGTGGGGTGGGTTACAAGAAAGTTTTAAGCATCTTGGTAAGTGTTGGATTTTTATAGTCAAAAGTCAAAATGGTGTTTGTACTGCTCCTTGGTGATGGATTCAAACTGTGTGATACTTCATTGTGCTGTCTAATCCCATATCTAACAGCATTCTCCCATAAACTATGCCAGGAAGAGCATTAAACTTTTTGAAGCACTTTAAAGGCAGTTTAATTCTATTTATAACATTTGTGCTTTGCATTTTTAAGAAAGGCAGGTGTTAACCTGTTAGCTCCCATGCTAACATTGAATAGCAAGGGATCTTTTAACTGTAGCATAAAAGAAACAAAATCCTGTGCACAAAGAACCAGATACAATCCAAGTATTATTTAAGCTAGTTTGGTGTAGTGGTTAGGAGCACAGACTCTAATCTGGGAGAACTGGGTTTTATTCTCTCTCTTCCACGTGCAGCTGCTGGTATGACCTTGGATCAGTCATAAATTCTTTCAGAGCTGTTCTCGCAAGGGTGGTTCTCGAGAGAACTCTCTCAGCCCCACCTACCTCACAGGGTGTCTGTTGTGGGGAGGGGAAGGGAAGGGAGATTGTAAGCCACTCTGAGACTCCTTCAGGTAGTGAAGGGCAGGGTACAAATCCAATCTCCTCCTCCTCCTCTTCGTCGTCGTTGTCTTCTTTTATTTCAGCTATGCAACAATGAAAATTTTAAGGCAACCAGTTTTATTCCTTCATTTCAATTTATTACAGATTCCTCAACCCAAGAGGATAAATTTTCCCAAAGCAGAACATCTCCCCTAGCTCCTCTCAGTTCTCCATGTACAGAAATTCTCTACTAGTTCCTCTCAACCCAAATGAACAAATTCCCCCTCAAAACAGAAATCTCAATAAATTCTAACACATTTTACCTTAATGCTGACTCTTTTCACCTTAATGCTTAACTCTTTATAGTATCAGATTACAATAATCTCACCAGTTTCCAAGAGCAATATTAAAATGAGTTGGCCTTCATTGTAGCAATCTGGCTGAGAGATTTTGCATCAACCCTGTTTTAGAGTCACTCGGAGGAGGTAGAGGATAACCTGAAAAAGAAGGCCGCATGAGAGGCCTTAGGCCTCTCCCTCTCCCTGAAGAACTCTACTGCCACTTTTATACTCTTATCAGGGTATCGTGACTCTCACACCATAAACTGACATCATCTTGGCCAAGTTTGCTATACAACCAGTTATGATTTTTTCCCAGTTTCAGGTCTTCATGTAGAACTTGTCAGAGTGACCAGGCAGAGTTCTTGCCATTAAGGGAAAACATGCAGATTCCACGTGGGCTCTTCTTAATCTGTGTGGCTCATGCCACTCTTTTTGCTTTTCCCTGATAACCCTCACAATACCAGGAATTCAACCCCTAAATGAATTCTGGGTTACCTTCCCAAGGCTTATCCCAGAACATTAGGAAGTTGCCTAACTACTGTCCTAACACCATCCAGACCAAATAAATCATAAGCGACATAAGTAATCCTCTGAGGATGCTGGATTTAGAACCTGGTCCAAATCTGAACCTGGATCAAACCTGTGCAAATGGACTCTGTCAGGAAGCATTTATCTTTAGTGAAAACTACAGATGTGCAGGGAATATATTTACTATACACTAGGCATGCATTTCTGTGGATAGTGTGACCACATAGCAAGATAATTTAAAGGTACAGGGATAGGATACTGCGTGACTTTTGATATTGCAGGTTATACTTTAAGAAATTAAGTTAATTCACATAGCTTGTAATAGGCTTTTGGACTCATTTGACAATTTAAAACCCTTAGTACTAAACTCCTTACCAATCATACTTTATGTCTCTCAGTTCCTAACTCCCTAACTTAATTTACTTCTAGGGTTGCCAGCTCTGGGTTGGGAAATACCTGGAGATTTTGGGGGTGGAGCCTAGGGAGGGCCGGGTTTGGAGAGGGGAGGGACCTCAGCCAAGGTATAATGCCACACCCTCCAAATCAGCCGTTTTCTCTAGGGGGAGTGATCTTGGTTGGCTGGAGATCAGTTGTAATAGTGGGAAATCTCCAGGTGCCATCTGGAGGTTGGCAACCCTATGTACTTCAGTAATTAAACCCTTTGACCCAATATTAATACAAATGAGGTTTTCTCTCTGGAATGTGGAATGCTTCATTTTCTCTTAAAAAGCATAATCAAATATTTCATGTTTCAGCCATGCTTTGTCTCCCAAAGTGTTGTATTTGCCAGAATTACTGTCAGCTGTTCTGACCTCTGACCTTATTTGGTGCGAACAATATTTCTGGGATCCCTGCCCAGAGTTACTGCAATGGAACAAGCTTGGGCCAGGTCAGACAAAGAGCAAACACCAAAGCCTGAAAGCCCAAAATCGAAAGCAACTATGTCAGCATTGTTCAAATGAATAGAAAGATTTGATAGTTTGATTCTCCACTCCTCCACATGCAGCTGCTGGTGTGACCCTGGGTCAGTTACAAGTTCTTTCAGAGCTGTTCTCTCAGGAGCAGTTCTCAAAAGAGCTCTCTCAGTCCCACCTACCTCACAGGGTGTCTATTGTGGGGAGGAGAAGGGAAAGGGATTATAAACTGCTCTGAGACTCCTTCGGGTAGCGAAGGGCAGCAATGGTATAACATTTTGCTAATAACTCTATCACCTAACAGGTCAGTCATCCATACATAAAATAACTATCAACACCTGATTTTCTAAGTCTGAATATCTATGTGTTTTATAGTTATACTTCTTATTATTCAAAAATCTTTTTGAATACTTGTTTATCCTATCAGATTGATGTACAAATCAAGATGTTACTGATACTTTTAAAAATTTCTGTCAATACTGAAGTGACTATTTTTGGTATTAATATCTGTTTGTACCATTAAAACTTCAATAAAAATTGTTAATTAAAATTTTTTTTTAAAAAAGCATAATCACGTTTCAGCCATGCTTTGTCTCCCTCTCCCAAAGTGTTGTATTTGCCAGAACTACTGTCAGCTGTTCTGACCTCTGACCTTATTTGGTGCGAACAATATTTCTGGGATCCCTGCCCAGAGTTACTGCAATGGAACAAGCTTGGGCCAGGTCAGACAAAGAGCAAACACCAAAGCCTGAAAGCCCAAAATCGAAAGCAACTATGTCAGCATTGTTCAAATGAATAGAAAGATTTGATAGTTTGATTCTCCACTCCTCCACATGCAGCTGCTGGTGTGACCCTGGGTCAGTTACAAGTTCTTTCAGAGCTGTTCTCTCAGGAGCAGTTCTCAAAAGAGCTCTCTCAGTCCCACCTACCTCACAGGGTGTCTATTGTGGGGAGGAGAAGGGAAAGGGATTATAAACTGCTCTGAGACTCCTTCGGGTAGCGAAGGGCGGGGTATAAATCCAATCTCTTCTTCTTCTACCAGGCCTGAGACATGAATTTTAGTTTTGGAGGCCTCTGGCCTTGTAGATTTTTTACATACATCAGGCTTGTTGGAATCCATAGGTCTAACACAGGTATGTCTGTATTTGCATATCTGTTACACAAGCATTGTATAGAATGGCTGTTACCTTTTTGGTGAAAATAATTACTGCATCACAATTCAGAAATGGAGCATTTAAACCCAACAAGGTGGGAACAGCTGTGGCTCATTGGTATAGTATCTGCTTGGCATACAGAAGGTCCCATGTTCAATCCTGGCATCTCCAGTTAAAAAGGACAGTTAATAGCTGATGTGGAAGACCTCTGCAGGACTCTGGAGAGCTTGACCTTAAATACTGGTTCAACCCTGTCCCCAAACTTACATTCTACACTATACTCAAGTTCACCCCTGTAATTATCTCAGGGTATTTTTTGTTTCCACATTACATTGAGGTCACCCCGGTTTTACCCCACACCTGTCCCAGGATAAACGGATGCTGTTATAACCAGGGATAAATGCAAGGTATTATGTTGCGAGTTGAACTCTCATAAAACCAGGGATGAGATCCAAGTGCAGAAAGGATGTAGATCATAATGAACTAATGATGTGATTCAGCACAGAACACCTTCCTGGTTTAAGTTGTACATTTGTCATTCATGAGGGCTTCGGATCAGCTCATTAAAGCACTATTCTTCCAGTCACCCATCTGTTCTGGCACATCTGCCGTGATAACCTGGAAATCAGGGCCATAACCGAGCCTCTGATAGAATTCTGTTCCCGTTTTGCATAATCACATGCCTGCTAGCTGAACTTTCTGCATGCGAAGCAGGTTCCTTACCGCTGAACCATGACTCCTCCCATGATCAAACTTTGTTTATTGTGGGTAAATTCAGTTTCTTATCCAGCCTATTCTTTTCTTTGGCATTCTTAAGTCATAACAACAAATCATGGCTTATTGTTACATGGAGGAAGCCTGGAGGATTCTCGGGCTCCTACCCTTCCTCCTAGTCTTATCTGTGAGAACTAGATTAAAAGCCACATTGTTTGAGGGAAACTACAGTTGTCAGGCTTCCAAATCACAAACCATAGATTGAAATGCTGGTTCGTAGAGAATCCAGCAAAGTGAGCTACGTTTTGTTCTAAAAGCATAAATTTTTAATTAAGTCACTGCATGTGAGAACCGAAAAGAAGGGAAGAAGGTAGAAATTTGAGGATACCCCAGGCTTCTTGTATAATGACAAACCGTGGTTTGTTTTTTCATTAGTAACTTCAAACTTACTGCTACTATCTGATATGGGTCCATTTAAATAAAATGATCTGTCTTGATAGTTTTCACTCTCCATATGGCTTCTGGAAATGCAACATTTGTTTTATCAGTGTATTACATACTGTTTTCTACTGTCAGAGCTCAGAAGTAACCTTTTAAAGACAGTGAAAAATACAAAGAAAAAATACATATGTGATCAGTTGTCTGAATTTCTTTGGTTCAAAGTCCATTGGAAAAAGTAGAATGATAATAATAGGATTTCTGTATTACAGAATCGGAACTGATTATGGAAGAATACACAGTAAACAAACCAATAGAGGATCCAACAAAACTTGGTGTCCTAAGGAGGAGGAGATGGACTTTGCAGCGAAATATGGGGGAGATCCTTCCTAAACGCTCCTCACAGTATTCTGCTGGGGATGCAGGTTTGCCTTCCCGTGCCGATACAGGTGTGTACAACAAACAGGAGTATTTGTTTTTGACTGTTAAGTAAACACAAGGACTTTGATGGCTGTGTGTTTGCGATCCACGTCACACAGCACATCTTGTGCACAGCTCTTCCTGACCCTTACCTTTCCATGTGTTGAAGATATGAGATATCTTCTGGTTCTATGCAGGCAATGAAAAGCTCACAAAGCAAGTTGGTGTGCAAAATGCATTTGCAGAGTGCTTTTTTTGTATATATTGTGCTTCCTGTGCTTCCCATTCAATGCCAAATTATGGGTTTTAACAGCAGATATGGCTTGGCTAGATGGATTCAGTCGATGATTCAGTAGCATTCAGTAGGCGAAACAGAGTATGTTTAATGAATTTGGGAATGTGTATGATTTCTTTTGTTGTACTATGTTTAAACTGAGCATCTACATAAATCACAGTGCGGGACCAGATAAGCCCCTGTGCAAACCTTGCAGAAGATTCTGGGTCAGGCAGAAGTTTGCAAAAGCAGCTTGCAAAAGAAAACATTTCAAGTTTTTTTCCAGAGTAACTTGTGCACACTGCTAGATGAATTTGATTACTTATGCAGTGATGTTTGTTCCCTTTCTGGGTCCATCACCCAGTGGATGTTGTTATTCTGGAGGCAAGCCCTCCCCAGACCTCCGGTTGTTTTGCTTAATTTCTGGGATATCGAAGTTCTTCCTGCTGCACAATTGCCCTTTCAATATGCTAGTGACTCCACATTCATTGGGAATCACATATGGCTATGTGCTGGCTGCTTTAGAAGACAACTGAATATTTTAGAAGAACATATGGCACAGTTTAGTGTACCAGGAAAGATATGAACTAAGGGAAGCAACTTAAATGAGTAAGTGCTGACTTGATAAAGTGTTACTTTTCTCCCTTGAGTGTATCACAGATGGCATAGTCCTGGTTTATGCCAGTAATTTCAGTAGTTTTAAAAAGTTATTTCTCAGTTTCTTAATCACTCACTCACTAGTGCTCCAACTTTCCAGGTGAGTGTGTGTGTCTCAGTGCATGCTGAAACCATGATGTATACTTCTGAGCCAGAACAGAAAATCTGAATGTTAGAAACAGTTTTAGAAGATCAGGTAATTGAAACAATTGTAGGTTAAGTTTTGATTGTGACAGGCAACACTTCATCAGTTTGAGGGGACATGTTTACGTGTATGCATCCTTTTTGGATCCCTGATCCCAGTTGGTAATGAGATATTTTGCACACAAGTGGTAATGAGATATTTTGCACTGGATGGTCCTTTCATATTACTCGCTCATATAAATTCTGATAGGCTGCCTTCAGCCATCACAAACAAAACACAGTTTGTTCATGACATGAATAAACCTAAATAGATGAGCTTGTGTACGCCCACTGTCCTCCATTTCCTAGTTTAGGAAGTCTTTATTGTATTGATTGATTTAAATATGTATGTATCCCACCATTCTAAAGGCTCAGGAAGGTTCTTTGTAAAACTATCACAAATTAAAAGTATACTTCTAAGAATTCAAGAGCTCCACACAGTTTCAACCACAAAGAAAAGCATTCAGCTTGATCTTCATAGTCAACATTGTTTTTATATTGTTGTATTACTACTTATGAGAAATTGTATTAATGTAATGAATTGTGTTTTATGTATCCTGTGAACTTTTACTCTGTTGTAAGCTGCCCAGAGGCAGCCTAGGCCAGATGGGTAGGATAAAAATCAATAAGTAATAAATAAGCAGGCCTTATAAAAATCCAGATGAATTATTCCAGAGCTGGGGGAGGGGGCTTAAAAATGGTTGCTGGTAGATTCCAGTTGGAATTGCATTATCAACATAATGTTGATGAGCAGATTTAAGTAAGCATATAGTCTATATCAGAAGAGGCAAGTAGTTTGGTCTAACCATCCTCAGTGTTGGCTCTTTCCTAAACTGTGATTCTGAACTATGCACATGAGGAAGAGAAGGAAAGGAACACACAAGACCAGGGATTTCAGGCTTGTTCATGTTGCTATAGGAGCTGCGATGGCTCAAGTGGTTAAGACACTGAACTGCAGGCTGTGGAAGGTCAGTAGTTCAGCAGTTCGAGACCCAAGTTGCCGCATGACAGAGTGAGCTCCCGTCTCTAGTTCCCGCTCCTGCCAACCTAGCAGTTCGAAAGCAAGAAATTGCAAGTAGATAAATAGGTACCACTTTGGTGGGAAGGTAACAGCGTTCCGTGCGCTTTGGTGTTTAGTCATGCCGGCCACATGACCACGGAAACGTCTTCGGACAGCGCTGGCTCTTCGGCTTTGAAACGGAGATGAGCACAGCAACCCTAGAGTCAGACTCGACTGATTTTCAAGCAAGGGAACCTTTACCTTTTACATGTTGCTACTGTTGTTTTATTTGTTTGATGTGTGAATGCAACCATAATTCACTGTGTGCTGTATGAAATCAGAACCATCCAGTATCATCAGCCTTAACTGGTGAGACTGGCTATACTCCTGCAGAGTGCAGGGAGTTGGACCAGATGACCTGCAAGGTCCCTTCCAACTCTAACATTCTATGATCCTATGACTTGGAGCATCACTCTGTTGAAGAAAGACAACAAATATAATAGCAGAGTCCCAAAATTAATGCAAGATTCAGCATAAATTAATAGTACATTGTAAGGGGTGGAAATGTAGCTCTTTTTAAAAATTTGGAACTGTTTTAGAGGAATCAGAGTAGCTGCTCAGTTCCTTGTTACGCAAATTACCCATCAAATCCTGCACACGTAGGCACAATAAGTTCTCGGTTCAGACCTAGGTCAGTTCCATTTTTGAGAAGGAAACCTAACATAGTGAAGTGAGATTAATCAGATTTAGGAAAAGGAAGACATAACTTTACTTCTCTTGCCCAACAGGACCCAAAAAGGATGCTAAAAATAAGACCATCACCATCATAGTGATAATGAGCATTTTGTAAGTACTTGCTGGATACTTTATCTTAGTTTTTCAGTACAGAATACTGGTACAGAATATACTGCATTAGCATTTTTGTCAATGTCATGGTAGCCACTAGTATTTTTCTTAGTACTGTCAAAATGATACCTTGATGTCTGTTGCCTTACTATTTGGGATTCTGCTTCTTAGCTCAAGTGAGGACCTGTGGGAAAATTTAAGGGATTAATGGAATTGGCCTTAGAGGAAGCCTCTTCAAAAGCGATGAGCCTTTAAACTGTGAAAGTACTCTCTCACAACTTGTACCTTCCTAGACCTGGGACCCACAGAGCTGCAAGCAAACAAGATGTCATGTGACAGGAAGAAGGGGAGCCAGAGTTAGACCTGGTATAAATCCCATCACAGTGAACAGCAGACCAAAAGAGCTGGGGACAGGAAACACAAACTATCACTAGGAAAGACCTTATTCAAATCTGCAGGAAACGTAGTAATGGCAGTGTTCACACGCACGCGAAATAATGCAGAGGGGAAGTGAGGCTGTTTGCTCCACAGGAATTTGACCCGCATTTGTGTGATCACATAGTCCCTGGGAGTTGCGGGGGCGGCCCGCCACTGCGTGATCGCACTCAACCGCAGGTGAGTCGGGGGGGGGGGGGGGGCGCCGCTCCGGTGTGCTTCAATGAGGGATCGATGATTCGCATCTCTACACCAAGTGCTCCCTGTGCAATGATGCGCATACTGAAACCATGGAGTAGGGATAGCCCGATCAGACCATCCCGATGCCATTGAATGAGAACCTAATAGGGTTACCACCTGAAGATGGTGCCTAGAGTTCTCCTTGAATAACCCAACTGATCTCCAGACTACTGATCTCTCCCTCCCCCCCAGCTTTGGTTCCCAATACAACTGCCTCAACAGGCATGGTATTAGCTATGGGGCAAGAGCCCCGGGCCTTCTGCTGAGTGGGCTCTGGCCATGAGCTGCCCTCTTTGGGAGTCTCCCCCTCACCACCAGCCTCTCGCAGTGAGCAAGGATGCTGAGGGGTTCACATGAGCTGCCAAGCTCATGTGGGATCGCTGTTTGACTGTTACGTCACTCTGGCAACAGCAATGAGTTTGGCAGGAATCAAGGGGCCCTGCCTCCTTTCCCAGTGATAATGGGGCTCCAGAATCACTAAGACCACCCCTGCATCTGACACCCTAATTTGCTAACACAGGGAATTAGTGGTTCATACAGTATAATGTACTTGCAATAGAATTAGTATAACTTTAGTATATGAGTTTGGGATGCTATTGGACTCAGCATTTCTGATGGTAAACAGGTTGGTGCTATTGCTAAGACTGCCTTCTTGCATTTACATGTGGCTAGGAAGTGGATGTGGGTAAATCTCCTGTTTTCATCGCAATTACAAAACTCATCATTTCTGATGGTAAATAGGTTGGTGCTATTGCTAAGACTGCATTCTTGCATTTACATGTGGCTAGGAAGTTGATCACTTATTTAGACTCTTCTGAGCTAGCTACACTAACACTGTCACTTTCAGACTGGACTCCTGAAATGCACTATAAGTGGAGGGGGCTGCCTTTGAAGATGGCTCAAAGCTTCAATTGGTACAGAATGCAGTGGAGGGATTCCTGTCTGGAGTCAGCAGCTCAGAAGATATAACTCCAGTGCTGCACCAACTGTGCTGGTTACTTATTTGCTCCCAGGCCCAGTTCAAAGTTCTGGCCTTTAAAGTCTTTAACAGCCTAGGGCCCACATACCTATCGAACCTCATCTCCCAGATAGACTCACATGCACCAGTTATGCTCTTCAGACAGCCTTCTTTATGGTGCTGTCTCTTGGGTCCGTCCACACAGCAGCATCTGTGCACAGAGCTTTCATTGCAGTAGGTTCAGTCCTCTGGAATAGCCTACCAGACTGGGAGTGAAGTGTCTTTGGCATCATTTAGGAAGACTTGCAAGAGTTTTCTTTCAGAGGCCATTGGGTGAAGGGTAAATGGTTTAGGATGATTTGACTGAGTTTTAAGCTGCATGTTTATTTCTAATCGGTGGAGTTGCTTTTAAGTGTGTGTGTGTGTGTATGTCTAATCCTTGTTGTTAATTTGTTAATTTGAATTGGTTTTGTTAGGAAACTTATGTTTTTTGGGGTTGCCACTTGTTTCTACATGGTTACCCACCTTGAGTCAAAGGAGAGAAAGCAGGATATATGAATGTTGTAAATAAAGAGAGAACGTTAGTATAACCAAAAACACTGGTTTTTTAATGTACCTGTAAAAGAAAAGGGTTTTTAATACAATTTTGATACAACTTTATCTTACTAATATTTCCAGGAAGATAATATTCCTTTATTGGGAGGAGGGCTGTCTTATTTCTAGCCATTGTGAAGCTACACAGAAGGAATAGAAACAATTACAAAACAACCTGTACTTTTTCACTTCCTTTTCAGTTTGCTCTTACTGGTTTTGCTTAATGTGACATTATTCCTCAAACTGTCGAAGATTGAAAATGCAGCTCAGTCATTTTATCGTGTTCACCTTCAGGAAGAAGGATCTGTAAAGTGAGTCACTTTTCTTTACCAGTTGGACTATGTCTTACCACACAAGATTCGAATAACTTAGTTTGGCCATGCAACGACCTAAAATTTAAGGAGGGAAATCTTTAACAGTGGAAGCCTGTGGCTTTCTTAGTGCAGGCATTTCATATTGAAGAACCGTCTCCTTCCATATGTCCCTGTGCACCAACTATGCTTATCAGGCGGTCATCTGTTGGCTATCCAACCACTTAGGGTGACCTGTCTGGTGTCAACAAGAGCCAGGGCCTTTCTATTATGGCTCTGGCCCTGTGGAATGAGCTTCCTGAAGTGGTGAGAGGGGCCCCCTCCTTGGAGATCTTTAGGAGGGGCTGCAAGCCCTGCTTGTTTGCCAGAGGTTTTGAGGTGGAATAACTAGCAGGCATCTTTTAAGGGGCGGAGAGGGAGGGATTTGGGGGTTGTTGTTTTAGCTGGGGATATTTTAAGTATCATTGTAAGTTGCCTTGAACTAAGAGGACAGGTGGGGCATAAAAGTTTTAATTAATAAATTCTGGGGAAAGGAGATACTGTGTTTTGTCCCCCCCCTCCTCCCCAAATCCCTTGAGAAACAGTGGTCTTCATTCACATTTCACTCGGTCTGTTTCTTCATTTTCAACTTCTGATGTTTTGTGGGTCTCTCGCATATGCTGGTTTCAGAAGTACAATCTTGAATATTATATTTTTTTATGCGTGGGGCACATCCAGAAGGCTCTGGTTCCAAGGATTTGAGTGTCAGTGCTTGAAACACCTGTTGGCCAGACTTGCAATTGTCACTGACCCCATCCCTAGAAAAAGAATTATGGGGGCCAGTATAGGACCCATTATGACAGGAGTAGTCTGCAAACCTAGTTTTCCCATATAGAAATAAAAGTCTTCCTGCTTTCCATGATGCTAGGGCAGTGCCACATCAGCAGGATAGAAAGCTACCATTTGGATGTGTCCTTTGTACTTTGTCTTGTCGATCTTTATAGCTCTAAAAAAGTAGGGAGGTTACCATAGTTTTATTCTCCACTATAATGCTGATTTTATAGTATAGAAGTGAGGTACAGTGAAGGCTAAGAGTATGAACTGTGAACTAGCAAGTATCCAGTTCAAAAGTCATCTCTACCACAAACTCATTAGAGGACCTTGGGCAGGCCACTGTTTTCTCAGTTTCCATCTGTATTATTGGGATCATAATCAACGTTCCCTCTAAGCCTCACAGTGTTGTGAGCAGAAAGTCTACCTTGTGAGCGAAAAAACTAGTAGCATTACAGCTGTGAGAGAGTCCACATTTGACTGTCATCTAAATTAGTTTTTTAAAAGATTACTTCCATAACCTTGTAAAAATCTCAGAATAAATTATTTTAAGTTATATTTAAACTATAAGAACATAAGAGACGCCAATGTTGGATCAGGCCAAAGGCCCATCCAGTCCAACACTCTGTGTCACACAGTGGCCAGAAATACCAGTGCCATCAGGAGGTCCACCAGTGGGGCCAGGACATTAGAAGCCCTCCCACTGTTGACCCCCCCCCAAGCACCAAGAAGACAGAGCATCACTTGCCCCAGAGCCCCTAGCTATACCTTGTGGCTAATAGCCACTGATGGACCTCTGCTCCATATGCTTATCTAATTCCCTTTTGAAGCCATCCATGCTTGTAGCACCCACCACTTCCTGTGGCAGTGAATTCCATGTGTTAATCACTCTTTGGGTGAAGAAGGACGTCCTTTTTCTCCAAGCTAAAGAGCCCTAAGCGCTTTAACCTTTCCTCATAGGGAAAGTGTTCCAACCCTTTTATCATTCGAGTTGCCCTTTTCTGCACTTTTTCCAAAGCTATAATATCCTTTTTAAGGTGTGGTGCCCAGAACTGCACACAGTATTCCAAATGAGGTCTCACCATTGATTTATATAGGGGCATTATTATATTGGCTGATCTGTTTTCAATACCCTTCCTAATAATCCCCAGCATAGCATTGGCCTTCTTTATTGCAGTCACACACTGTCTCGACATTTTCAGTGAGTTATCCACTACAACTCCAAGATCTCTCTCTTGCTCAGTCTCTGCCAGTTCAGACCCCATCAATGTGTATTTATATTTAGGATTTTTGGCTCCAATGTGCATCACCTTGCACTTGGCCACATTGAACCCCATTTGCCATGTTGACGCCCACTCGCCCATCCTTGACAGATCCCTTTGGAGTGCCTCACAATCCTCACTGGTTTTCACCACCCTGAACAACTTTGTATCATCCGCAAATTTAGCCATTTCACTGCTTACTCCCATCTCCAAATCATTAATGAACAAGTTAAAAAGCAGTGGACCAAGTACTGATCCCTGTGGTACCCCACTGCTTACCACCCTCCACTGAGAAAATTGCCCATTTATACTCACTCTCTGTTTTCTATTAATTAGCCAGTTTTTGATCCATAAAAGGACTTGTCCTTCTATCCCATGATTTTTGAGCTTACTTAGGAGCCTTTGATGAGGAACTTTATCAAAAGCTTTCTGGAAGTCAAGGTAAATAATATCTATTGGATCCCCCTTGTCCACATGTTTGTTCACCCCCTCAAAGAACACTAACAGGTTAGTGAGACAAGATCTTCCCTTACAGAAACCGTGCTGAGTCTGCCTCAATAGGTTTTGTTCATCTATGTGCCTACTAATTCTTTCCTTAATAATGGTTTCCACCAATTTACCCGGTATCGACGTCAGACTGACTGGCCTGTAATTTCCCGGATCTCCTCTGGAACCCTTTTTAAAGATGGGAGTGAATAAACATTATAAGAGAAAACAGAATCAAGTCAAATTTCACCCACCCTTTCCCACTATATTGGTAGACCTGTCTTCCTGAGAACAAGTCTACCCACCCCAGTCCACTATATTGGTAGACTTGGCCTCAGACTGTCACCCTGTGCTGAGCCTTAGAAAACATACCAGCAGGGGGGTATGCAGATACCAGCAGGGGGTAATGCAGTCTACTTTGGGTTTTTTTAGTGAAATATGACAACCAGCACTACAGGTCAAGTATAACAGTGGAAGAACAGTAGAAAAGAGTCCTGTAGCATCTTAAAGACTAACAAAGTATGTGGCAGGGCATGAGCTTTCGTGAGTCACTGCTCACTTCTTCAGGAACAATAGTTTTCCCTGTGACTGAAGGCAGCTTACAATTCATACTGAAAAGCATAATAGGAGCGTGCAAAAAAAATTTTTTTCCAGCTCCATTGTAGCCTACGGGGACCATTATAGTCAATAGGCCCCATAAGCTATAATGGAGAATTGATCTGGGGGTATCTGGAGCTCTGGGGGGCCTGTTTTTTTTTAGTTAGAGGCACCAAATTTGCAGCATAGTTGCTGGTTTCTCTCCTCAAATATCTCACCAAGTTTCAAAAGAATTGGACCAGAGAGTCCAATTATATGGACCCCAAAAGGAGGTGCCCCCATCCTCTAATGGGCTGAAGCAGTATCTGTGGGCTGAAACAGAAATTATCTGAGCTGGTTGTTAAAATTTTGTGCGCCAGCACCCTCTAGCGCAGTTTAGAGGTAACCATGATCATAATAGTGGTTTACATATTAGAGTTGTTATAAGGATTACCAAGATCATGTGAAGTGCTATTAAAATATGCAGTAGTTTGAACGTTGTGAAGTCAGAGGAGAGGGGTGAGAAGCCCCCCAACCCACGTCTGTTTCTACTGGCAGAAGTAGTGTAAGAAAAGAGCAAGAGTCCAGTAGCACTTGGTAAGGTATGAGCTTTCGTGAGTCACTACTGACTTCTGAAGTGAAAGGGAAACTGGAGGCCAAGTAAACGAACTCTATTTAAAGTGAGTTCCCCTGATGTACATCTGACTATGAGTCCAGTCACGCACCTGTAACCTAGCACATATCAGGTGTATTGTATAGTTGCACCCTAAGTATTTGCTTTGATAAAAATATACAAAACATTGGTTTGCCTGCCATCTCTGCTAAGTTACCTGAAATGTGACAGCTATAGGATCAAGAACTTAATGTAATTACTTCACACCAACATTATCTGCCTGTTTTGGAAGTACCAGATGGTGTCCCATAATCAGATGTTGCCAGAGCAGCATGGGAAGAAGCCACACCCGATGCCACAATTGTAATGGAACAAGTCAGTGTCTGAACCTTGAAGCTGGGAAATGACAGTTAAATGGAAAAGAGTGATCTCTGTTGTAGAGCTGTATTCCCGTCCAGAGCCTTCAACTTGAATAAGCTATAGTGATGGTCTCTCTGGATGTCTGTTGCCTTTTGGGTTCTTCCACATGGCAACAATTCCCTGTAGTTTCCCATTATCACTGAGGCTGCCAGCTCCACACAGCAGCAAAAAGGCTTCCAGATGCTGAGTTTCTCCAGTTTCCTTGCCCTGTTCCTTCATAGTCATCATTTAACACGCATGCTATGCCACTGGTGGCCTTTATCATTTTTTAAAAAATTGGCACTAGCTAGGAAACTTTAGTGTTGGAACATTATAACATCTTTTTATTAAATTCTGAATTCAGTTCATTTTTTAAAAACACAAGTCTCTAGCCTAGGGGTCCTCAACCTTTTTGAGCCTGTGGGCACATCTGGAATTCTGACACAGGAGGACAGTGGGTGCAACCAGAAAGTGGCTGCCGCAACAGGCAAAGCCACACACCCAGAGGAGGTTCAAGTGTGGGAAGAGGAGTAATTAAAAAAATACACTGGGAAAGAGGAGTGTTATTTTAATCTGCACAGACAATCAGATCTTCAGTGTAAAATCTGAAGTCCTTCTGGGCAAGACCCCTACCTTGCCCCACCCAGTTTCTAAAAGGGCTAAAGGTTTTATTTTACAGAAGGCTGGGAATTCAGAGGACCTAACAGATAGTTGTATGTTAGCTGTTGGTGATTTTTTTTTAAGTCCCTGGTGGGGCAGGGGAGGAAATGGCAGCTGGGAGGGAACATGGCAAGGAAAACGGCGCCAAAGTGAGTGTCACCTTTTGAGGCACAACACACTTTCCACATGGCAGGCAAATGTGCTTTGGCTCCATACCAGCAAGAAACATTGGATCCAAGATGGTTTGGGAAAGCACAAGTAAACCATGGAAAGACAATGAATGGGAAATAATGCTGTGTGGAAGTTTGGAAATAATCTGTTGCAGTTAGAAGCCCAAAAAAGCCCAAGTAGAAGTCACCATAGACAGCTCTAAGTGTTTAACTATTAAGTTAATTTGTGAACAAACATAATGTAATTAAAACATTTATACCCCACCTTTTCTTGTGGTTCAAGGTGTAGTTCAAGATCATGTTAGATTGTACCCATAAGGCAATTAAGAAGTAGAGGGGAAGACAGGATTTTTTGGTACTGTCAGACAAACATTTGTTCAGGTCTAACAGTTCTTCTGTTCTCTTCTCAGTTTAGCCCTGAATATGGCATCAGGAGAGAAAATCCCACCGCATGATACAGACAAAGTCCAGCATGTGAAAGGGGTGCTGAGAGACTCTATAGCATTACTCGAACAGGTAGGTGTTCCTATTCTTTATGCTTTTCTAGCCTTTGTGAAAATAAAACTTGCATAATCAGGGGAGAAATCAGTAGTGCTCATTTTGTTTTTTTAAAAAGTCCCAGTATTCACAATGGAGGCCTGCAAAGAAGGCAACAGGGCAGCTGATATACTCCATTGCACTCACTGATGATGTCATTGTTGAGTATGACATATCATCTGCCCTGCTGCCTTCACTGCAGTCCCACCTGCCACCTTCTCAGATGGCCTTTTTGTGACGAGGCCAGCCAGAAAGAGGTGTCAGTATATTGTTCAGTATATCATTCAGGCGCATATCAACACAAAAAAGCCCTGGAAATTAGAATTCAGGTGCCTTACTAAACTACCTCTGCAGTATCTAAATGCTCTGTTCTCATGTTTTCAGATGTGAACTAACTGAGAACAGAGTACAAAAACTGAATTAGGTTGAAGTCATACCTTCTAAATAATGGAACATTGATGTTCTGGAATCTGAAATATTTTTACAAGGGGACCTTAGGAATTAAGGAAGCATTGAGGCTGAGATCTGCCAGAACATTTTCTTCTTTGTTGGTCATTGTTGCTTCCCTCCCATTCTTGGTATCCCAATAAAATTTATATGGAAAGTGTATTATTAAAACGGTTTAAAGAATTGTGAAACTGTACAGTTGATACACAATGGACCCCAGTGACCTTGTGTCCCTTTCAGATTTGGTCTGCTTGAGTCCTTAGAGAGTTAAGAGTGCGGCTTGGAGGCTGGATTTAGTTGTCCACATGTGAAAGAAAGAATGGGAAGGCCACACTACTTTGGTGTAGCTGTGTTTTGATCCATGTGTTTCAGAGTATCTTCTGCTGTTGTTGCAATTAATAGCCATTGATTATGTTTCTTGCTCCTTTTTTGTAATGTTGCTTCTTTGTTCATTGAACTGATTAAAGCCACTTGTAGGAACTTGTGGGGTTTTTTTTTCCTTTGTGGCTAAACTTCATTAAAATAAAACTTCAGGATTAATGGAACTTGAAGAAGATCTGTAATTACATGAAAGTTGCTTATATCATTGTCAAGTTTGACCTGCCTTGGTCTGAGATATTTATTTCCCTGTCTCCAAACTAAAACCCTGGAGCAAGCCAAGTTTAACCTGGGTTTGGTCTGGTAGACTCACACCAACACACCACAAAGCAAAGTAAAGCTTTATGGAAAAGAAAATTTTAAGAAAGATTTGAAGAACAACCCAGTTCAGTGGAGTGTCGGAGCACACAAAAATAAGAAAACTAGTTTCCTAAGATACACTTACATAGCAAAGTTTTGCAGTGCAGGCCTTAACTTCTTAGAACATTAGCAAATACAGTCCAAAGCAAACAGCATTGTCCACATACATGTAACAACCAGGTGAAGGGCAGGGATGATGGAGGGAATAGTATTGTGTATAGATAAAGGGAATACCTGTGGCAGGAATAGACTACATTTTATAGAAAACACGGGCCATAGACCTCTTAACACTTTCAAACCAATCATCGTATTGTCTCTAAGGAGCCTTCCAGAGGAAAAGCAAATCCTCCCTGCAATTGATTCGAGCTGAAAGGAATAAATTTAAACGGGTGAAATGACCTTGGTGGGTAATGATTTTGGTATGGGAGGGTAACTAGCACCTGCTGTGGGCTGCACAAGGCAGAGAAATACCTATGGGTGGAATTTTCCTCAAAGTTGACTCATTTTCTTCATAGTCATGCCTGTGATTAATCTGTAATAAGTAGTCTGCTATTATACAGCCAACAAGTGGTTGGACCCACAAGGAGTCCGAGGGGGGTGAATCTTATTCCCTCTTTGCCTCTCCTAGGCAGTACCTGCAGCCTCCCTTTTGCTTTTCTTCCACCCACTTACCCCTTCTTTCTGTTCCCCATCTTCAACTTTCCCTCCAACTGACAGTCTCTTCTCTTTTCTTTTCTCCAATCCACCTACCTTTTTTGTTCTGTTTCTGTTTTTCAGTCTCTCTCCACCCTGCCCCCAACCCCACAACATCCAAGGCTTGGAATCCCCAAAAATGTTTATTGGGGGTTGTCTAGTAATCTCAAAAATGGCTGTTAACATACCTCAGTGTAGTTTCATAAGATCACAGTGCCATTCTTTTTTAAAGAAGCAGGCATTGCTTTTATGATTTTAGTTATTTTTAATGCTGTGGGGTGTGCGTGTTTTTACATTCTTTTTTGTAAACCTGGGGCATCCCCCAGGCTTGTAGAAAAATATTTCCTACCTATACATTGCTCCATGTTGCGTGTATTTGATCCACACTCTGAGGCCATTGTTCAGAATTAGGTATAACAAGCAGGAACCTGCAAGCAAATTGCAGAAACAGCCATCGCGTTCCCTGTTTTTGCTTCCTCCCCTCACCCTTCCTCTGTTAGTTGTCTCTTATTTTTCTCTCTCTCTGTTAGTCTCTTTCTCCCCTCCCATGCCTCTCATCTCACATACACATGCACACTGTCATTAATTTCTTTCTTTCTGCGTCCCTCTTATCTCTGTCACACATACTCTCTTGTTACCTTCTCTCTTTCTCCCCTGCCCCTGCTCAGTGGCTCCTGCTGTTCCTCAGTTCTGCAGCTCAGTGGGGAGGGGAGCAGTTCCTTCCCACTTCCACCAGGCCCCCCCCGCCCCCCCCCCCCGGCTCTTCCTCCCTTTCTCTCCACTTAAGCTTGCAGCCTCTGTCTGCCTAGCTGATGCAGTGGCAACAGGGCCTACTCTAATTTCTCCTCCAGTTAGCAGGCACAGCTGTCCTCCATCTGCTGCCTCTGCTTTGAGGAGGGTTGATGAGGCCAGCTGACAGAGTTGTGTTCTTTGTGCAAGCACAGACAGTGCTACTGTTGGGATTTTACTCCCCTTCCATTTTTGTTTGAAGTTCTCAGATTTTTCTGCAAACCTGGGTGGTCCCCCATGTTTGCGGAGTGATCTGTGTCTGTGTGGCCCCAATGCATGGATTTAAGTATTAGCAGTTGGGCCCACAATTAACAATTAGAATATAGGATGATATTGGTAGAGAAAGCTCTTGAAAATCACAATTGAGCCTTTTGTCTCCACAGCTGAAGAATTCCCTTTCTAAACTCCAAAGCAGCTTTGATCACCTGAACAAGACCAAAAATGGGAAGCCTGAAAGTTGATGTCACCAAAACAGATCATTAAGGAGACTGAAGATATTGTTTTGGTGATGAAACGATCAAACTTTTTTTTCCCTTTCAATTTTTGCACAGGACTCAACTTGCACATCTAATAAAGAAATATCTATAACATTTATTTTGTTTTTTAAAATTTCCTGTTACTCTGTGAATCCTCTTGGTCCACTTGACATCTTTTTGGAAATAGTTTCCTGAACTGTGAATGAGTAACAAGAGGGTCTGGTAATTATGTGATTGGCAAATAGCAGAGAAAATCCTTGGCAAAAGCAGTATGATATGCAAAGAGATAGAGGTTTTGAAGGATCATTAACATCATGAAAAAAGATATAATATAGATTTTACAAAAGTTGTCACACCTGAAGATTCTCTATATACTCAACAACTCTCAAAAACAGGTGGTTTTTGTCCCAGATTTCTTTGTAGATTCCCCTCCCCCCCAATCTCTTAAGGGTCACTGCAATTCTACCTCCTCCTATCCACTATCATTTCAGTTCTCAGGATTTCTCAGGGAGTGTCCATATGTATAAGAATGCTATGTCAAAAGTCCTGAGCCCTGAATTATTTTTAAAGACAACACTAATTGTATTCATCTGAATTTTGTATATTGATTGCACCAAGCCCTTTGTAAAACAAACATCCAGGTTTAATGTTTCACAGAGTGGCAATCCAATTCTCTGATCAGGTTTGATTTATCTTGTAGCACAAATAGAATCCCTAGCTGTGTTTTGTTAAGTGGCATGAAATGGAAATGTTCTTGTTTGTGCTACAACTGAGTTATGGCACGACCAGCTACTGGAGAAACGCAACAGTCTTTCTAAAGAAAGTTTCTGGAAGAGCAGAACAACTGTACAACCCACAGGAGAGTTACAGCCTTCCAGGCATACTGACTTAGGATGTAATGCTGCTTAAGGATTGCACAGCAAACTGAACAGAAAATGTGGGTGCCCATAAAATCATGGACACGCTAACCTGTAAACTAGAACTGTGACTTCTGTTCTAGGTTTTAATTTCCACTAGCCTTTCTTCAAAAAGTGCCTTTCTCATGGTTTGTATAGAAAAATAGCTTTAACAGCTGGACCAAAACTATCCAGGTTTTTTTCCCTAAAAACCAAAAATGTACTTGGTGTACCGTGCAGAGAGAAATGTATGGGACTAATTAGTGTCAAGCGAGGCATTTCACAGAATATAAAGCATAAGAGCAGAAATCCTAAATAGATAAATGAAGACACTTTCTGTGATATGTTAGGATTCTATGTTCTCCTTTGTGATTTTTTTTGTATTTGAAATGAATGCCATGTTGGTCATTTTATATAAAAATATGGAGATAAATGTATGTTATATATGGGAAACTTTGTAACAAGTCAAACATGTTTCTGTGTTCCAACATCAGAAAAGGATCCAATAAAGCTGACAAATGGCAGTATTTGGGGTTGTTAAAGCTTAGTTATTTTGAATTCTTAACTTAACTTTACTGAAGCTTCTTTCCAGGTCCTTTGTACCATGGTGTGTCATCAGAACAGCATAATTAAGTTTGAAGAGGAAGTGTGAAATTATTGCCGATAATGCAGCAGTTAGGAATGTTCAAGCCATTCTAATACTTGGGGGCACATAGCTAACATAACAGGGCTCTAGCAAAATAGCAATGAATATGAACAGAGAATTGAGAAAACTACCGAGTCCTCCATTCAAAAATTCCTTGAACTCAAGGGCTGTTGGCAAGAAGAGGGAGGGCCTGGTTCTGTGTCTCTTCCATTCTGAAAAGCCTTCTTGTGTTTCAAACAGGTGAAAATTGGAAGCATGAGTCACTCGCCCCTTCTGCTACTGGTTTGTAATGTGAGAAGACGATCATTGGGCTCATCTGTGCCAGTTATTTATCATATGTGAATGTAAATTTGAAGTATCCATAATGTAGTAAGCACTGGCAACACAGTGATATTTGTACAGGAGTGTTATAGCACAATGTTGAGCCTCCAAGTGTGAACACTGAAATCTTTGCTCGGGACATCAACACAACAGGTTATTTATTCCACCATTTAAAACAACTGGGTTTGATTCAGGCTTATACATCTCTGAAAAGCAAATTAGAAAATGGAAAAGCAGTTCACAATACAAACCTAGTTACAATTCTGGCCGAAGTTTTTTTTTTTAAAGGGGTATGTATGATTCACAGACTAGAAAATGGGAATTAGCATCTACTCCTCATAAAAACACATGGAAATTTGGTGTTACTGAACTTCTATGGTTTTTAAGGTATCAACTGGAAGAACTTTTCTGACTATTCAGGTATTTATATCCTGAATTTCTCCCCACTAGGGTCTCAAAGTAGCTTACCAAAACCCAAAACTTAGATAAACAAGAAAATAAATGTACAGCACAACTCCTGCTCCTGGCTGCCAGCCCTGGACCAAGAGTTCTTTGGTTCTTACCAAAGGTTCATACTTCTAGCCACACCCAAACTAAGTACCTGCAACAGAGGAGCAAAATTTCAGCCCACCTTTCATACAACTGGCACAAAGATGTTCCTCCCCTGTAGATGAGTAGCAGCCTGCAGGTACTACAAAATGTGTAAAGAATCACCTGTCAATCCTATTCTTAGCCTTCCCATTTACCACTTGAAAAGTGAAAGTAGTAGAAACCTGTATCAAATCCTATCCTCTACATTTGGCGGAGAATCACTACAAGTATACCACCTGTTCCTAAGCGCTTTGCAACAAGTTGTCATTTCGAGTGGTCAGAGCTGTTTATGTTCCAATTGTTTTGCCTTCAGGGGGGTGTTCTTTTAAAATTTTTGTTGGTGTGCTTCCCTCCCTTCCCTTCCTCCAAAATTCCTTACCTGTGTACCAAATGGTGGGTGTATCAGCTGCAGCTGTGTGGAACCAGATGTTTTCATTCTTGATATTCTTACATTGAAATAATCTGACTGCTAGTGCAGGGCGTTCTGCTGCAGAGTAACAACTGAATACAGCAGGCACTGGAAAGCGCTCAGCGATGCCCTGGCGGGTGGGAGAAAAGATGGGGGCTCCGAATGGCCTTTGCTGTAAGAATACGGGTGTAAGAATACAGTAGCGTCCCACTTTTAAGGCGGCGCTATTTTGTCAACCGATTTAAAAATCGTGTGATCCATTAACAGGCAGTAAATTTTTAACAAAATATAGTAATGGCGGTATTTACAAATCTTCAGGCGTTAAACAATTATTTTTCTCTTTTTTATGCAATACTGCGGTGATGTATGTCCTCAGGGAAGGACAACCGTTACTCCACATGCAGACTTGCAGAGATTCGGTCATTCAGTTAAAGGGTTATTGTTTTGTTTTGTTTTTTTAAACCCTTACCCTAAATTTCATACAGGAAATTCTGGAGGGTTTGGCGACAAGCGCAAATTAAACAAAAATGCTCCTCCGGTCTTGGGATCGGTCCTTCGGCGTGGCAAAAGCCACACCCTATACAAACAGTGAAACGAGGAAATGCCATTTCACCCAAGGTCAGGCTCCGCCAGGGATTCAGCAGCCCTTGCAAAGGTAGGTAGGCAGGGTGCTCCGCGGGAAACCATCTTTCCTAAAAGCGCCCCACGCCAATCAAATCGGGAAGCACTTTCTTTAAATATTAGCTGTGGAATCTCCTGCCATAAACTCGATCTCAGCGGCATCTTCTTTCCGCCTGCAGCCATTGGGCAGCGCTCCATGACGTCACCAAAACAGCATTCCTTGGAAGCCGGAAGCTTCAAAGCGCCGGGAGGACGCTTAGGGGAGAGTGCCAGAAGGGCGGGCTGGTGGCTTGAAAGTGGCGCCAGGTGGAGCCGGTGGGAGGAGAGGGCTCAGCCAATGGTGGCTGCCGAAGGAGGCGCGCGTTGGGCTTGAGCGCAGAGATTTTTCCGGCAGGCATGCAATTAAGAGTCGTGGGGAGCCTAGCGGTGGGTTGGTTGGGTGGGTGGAGGCTACAGGTGTGGTGTTCTGTTCTGCCCTGCCTGGGCGGGGAGGGGGCGCCACTGAGCAAGCGGAGGGGACTTGCACCTGCCGCGCTGGTTTGGAGCTGAGAGTTCCAGCAGAGGTAGCGGCGGAACCAGTGTTCGTGGTTTGTCTTTCACCGTTGTTCTCGCAGTTTCCAAAAATGCTCATTGGGCTGGAGACTTTACTAAAAAAGTTTCTCAGCAGGCACAAAACTCTCCCGCTCCTGTGCTGCAAAGGTATTCTTCGGCGTTTGCTGTCGAGGGGAGAGGTGTTGCTGTTCCCCGAGGAGGAGGCGGAGGAGGCACGATGACACCTCGCAAAAAGAACCCTAAAGGCCCGGGGATGGAGGAGACCCTCTGTTGCTGCGAGTACCTTGATCGCACGGGGGAGAGGAGCCACCTGGCGGCCTGTCTTTGCAACTGTGAGGACCTCGACGAGTGCTGTGAAAGGTAGGCTGCGGAGGGAGAGTGGGCCCTGCGGAAACTTGTCTCTAGCTGTGGAGCGACCTGCTGCTGCTCCTCTGTCTCTGGAAGACCTTGTTTATCTGGGGTGGGATTACAGAACTCAGACCTCTAATGCAGCTGTCCCGTCCCCATAATGATGCCTGAACACCCCTGAATGAATTTCCTTTGTGGCCAGGGGTTGCCACTCTTTAAAATGCTCACATACCTTTTAAGGGCTCTGAAGCAGGCAGAAATGCAGCACAGTCTTGTTAATGAGTGTTAAAAAGATTCATGCCTGTTGAGTTACTGCATGTCATGTAGACTTTAAAGGTGCAGGGAGAAAATGGCCACTGCCATGCCAATGTGGGAGGCCAGCCCACTCTGCAGTCACTCAAGCTGAGGAACAGATTCCAAATGTGAGAAAGCAGCACAGCCCCCCCCCCCACTGTGTGGAACATGCAGGATTTAAAGGCAACTGTTTGTTTCTTTTTCTCTAAGTGAATGTTCTTGTGTTGTCTGGAAGCTCTGCAAGTGTTTCCACATTCCGGTTTGAGCGTGGCTTCCCAGCCGGAACTTAATTCACTATACTTGTATAAACGGTGAAGCTGGCTCTTCCTACAGGACAAGTAGATGCTATTTTTGTGCTTACAGAAACTTTGACTGAGTTACAAAATATTTCTTGCCTACTTATGGGGACTGTTGTTGCTGTAACCAGAGAGGCAGGGAACGTGTATTTATGCAGTAAGGGTGTAGCAGGAGGAGCCCGTCTTGTGCCAACATTGCTCTTGCTGATAATTCTGTCTCTTGCACTGGCATCATGACCATCCCAAGTGGTTGCGGACTCAATGAAGTTTGAAGACGGCTCTGGTGTGGATTGTAGGGGCTGAAGTATGTCATAGCAGCCTAGTAGAGGGTGGCATAAGTCTTCGTAAATAGTAGCTGGTATTGTCTTTGTGACATAAAAACTCTATCTAATCCAGTTCCAATGTGTTTTACTTTTTAAAATAATCTGCTTCGGTGGAGATAATGCTGAAGAGCAGAGGGGTCTCTCCCCACAGCAGGGTTGAGTGTTTATCCACTTTGATAATGGTTAAATTATTGATGCTACATTGTGAATTGCCAAGCTCTTGTCCTCCCTCCTGAGTAATCTTTTTTTTTAAATCCATCTCAGATGGACTGTGCTAGTGTGGCCTCTGTGCTCTGGCATTATTAATGTTATGGTAACATTGCATTAAGCTTCCCACTGAGTGAAGTTGGAAAGAAGGGGGTGGGACTGTGGCTCAGTGGCAGAGCATCTGCTTGGCATGCAGAAGGTCCCAGGTTCAGTCCCTGGCATCTTCAGTTTAAAAAGATCAGGTAGCATTCTATGTGAAAGATATCTTCCTGAGACCTTGGAGAGGTGCTTTCAGCCTGAGTAGATGATGCAGACCATGATGGACCAAGGGCCTGATTCAGTATAATCCAGCTTCATGATATTATAATATCAAGAAGTCCAGCCGTTTTCTTCTATAATGGTGCACAGAGTCTAGGAAGACTCTGAGAGAATAAAAAAATGAAAATTTAAGTTGGATCCTGCTTTTGAAACAAAATCGTCACACATCTTTCAGTATCGTAAAGGCTCCATAAACCAATAATGCACCTCCGTTTTCTTGAGTGGATTTGCCAAATGTGTTGGATGGTTTTCTAAAACAGGTGCTGATAAATTCTCATTGGCTCCAGAGGCCAGCCCAAATTTTTAGGAGCCAGTCACATAATCTTGTAGGTTGAAATACATATGGCCATTTTTTTAAAATTATTGCTATCACGAAAAACACACACACAAGAACTTGGTGCCACAGTGGAATTTCTAGGTGCCATGATAACCTGGCACCTGGGCTTTGGCAAGCCCAACCAGATGCCATTTCCAGCCATTTGCTCTATCTACAGAGACATTCTTTCCCAGAAGAAGTAAAAGCAGAAGCAAAAATATGGCGTGTTTTGATTCCCA